CCTTATTGCTCTCTACAACTCCCTGAAAGGAGGGTGTAGAGAGGTGGGGGTCGGTCTCTTCTCCCAAGTCACAGGCGACAGGACAAGAGGAAACGGCCTCAAGTTGCGCCAGGGGAGGTTCAGGCTGGATATTAGGAAAAATTTTTTCACTGAAAGAGTTATCAGCCATTGGAATGGGCTGCCCAGGGAAGTGGTTGAGGCACCATCACTGGAGGTGTTCAAAAGACAGGTTGATGTAGTGCTGGGAGGTATGGTTTAGTGATGGTGATGCTCCTTGTTTGTTGTGTGGGTGTCTGTTTTTGTCAGTGAGGTTGACGGTTGGACAAGATGATCTTTGAGGTCCCTTCCAACCTAGAAGATTCTGTGATTCTGTGATTAGGGAAAGCCACGGCACTGTGCGATACTGGGGGTTAATGGGTAACGAAGCGCTTAAAGCTGATTTTTCCCTCCCACCTCCGGGCCAACAGCGGGAAGGGACAGGAACCGGTGACAGGAACGGGGGACATCAAGCCCCATCACCTGCCTCACGCTCCTCCCAGCAAGAAAATACCAGCCCGTGACCACTATGTTCCTGCATTTTGACTGAAACCATAAAGCCACAGCAAGTGAAAATTAACCGTGGCGACTCGTGCCCCGCGCTAAGCGTAACCTTCGCTCCCAGAAAATACCGGGTCGGGGGGATGTCTCGTGGGAGGGAATGCTTTTATCCTCAAACTTGGCCATTCAGGACAGAATCCAGAGAGATCAACATGACAAAACCTGGGCGTTTGTCATAAATCCTGTAAAAAGGGATTTATACAGCAAACAAACTGAAGGTGTATTCAGTCAGGTCCCACATTCAGTGAGCATTCCCTTTCTTCAGAAAGGAGCAACAAAACACCTAAACATAAAAAGTGCAAAGCACTTAGTTACTGTTTGTTTGTTCCTGGCTTCCTTAAAGTACCATCAGCTCTAAAAAAGCCATCTAAAGACTAGCACATGGGGAGCAAGGAGTAAGAAGGCCCGACGATAACATGAGGTGAAGAAAAAAACCTTTTCTAGTTTTTTTTCCAAGCCTTTGTCTCGTTCTTTTTTGAAAACGTGCACATCTAAATCATGGAAGAAAAAAGGGCCCTTAAATACTAAAAAACATGGCATTTGAGTCAGGAAGTCCCTCAACCTCAAATTGCTGGAGGCCTGGCTGGTTTCCCAAAGCTTCACAGCATGCTCCCCCGGTTGTTATGGTGTTTCCTAAGCATCTGCTGTGTGCCGCTCGCAGAAAGGGGAACCTCAACGAGACCAGACCTCCGATCTGACCCCCATACCGCCGTGTTAATTGCACCTTTTAACGTCGAATCGAAAGCACCGAATCGGTAAAGGAATTCCTGGCACTTTTGAGGAAAGCTTGAGGAAGCCGAGGCGCCGGAACGCGTTCGCCGGGTTTGCTGAAAAGGCACGAATGCGAAGGCAACGACACAAAAGAACGGGGAGGAACGGCACAGGGCGGGCGGGTTTCACCGGATGGCAGGCAGGGGCGAAAAATCCCCCACCGCCTCCCCGAGACAGGCGGGGGCGCGGGGGGAATGGAGAAAATAATAAAGGGAAAAAAAAAAAGAAAAATAGAAAATAATAATAATAAATGGCAGCGCTACAGGCAGTGCGCGGAGGGTCACAGGTGATTCCAACCCCCCTGCTAAAGCAGGGTTGCCCAAAGCCCATCACTCAGGACTGGCGCCCCGCCTCCCGGGGCTCCCGGACCGCTCGGCGAGGCGGAGCGGAACGGCGGCCTCCGGGAGCGGGCGGCCAACCCCCCGCCCCGGCGCTCCGGGAGCGCCTGGAGCCGCAGGTAGGAGGGAAAGGAGCGGGGTTTGGAGGCTGACGGGGATGAGGCGGGACGGGCCCCGCCGGGTTCCCTCAGCCGCGCGGGGCAACCGGCCACGGAAAGGGGAGGCGGCGCGCGGCACACAACGGACGCGCGCGTGCCGGCGGCGCCCCGGGACATCACCCCCCGACACACACACACACCCCCACAAACGGACATCCCTACCGGCCCGCCCGCCGCTGCCCACCGGAACAAA